GGTCACCGCTCTGGTTCGGGAGACTAACGTTGAAGGCGAAACAGCAGAAAACAATGCGGGATTTTGTTATGTAAACCACATAATAATCTAACTTGAGTCCATTTTATAGAAGTCACGTCTGAAGTTGCTCACCAAAAGTGTCCATATAAAGAGGTTTGACTGTACTATCGATGCTAAATACCCCTCTAAATCGATATGTGAGCTGAATCATTTTAGTGAGTTGGAGTTATAGTCACTTTGAATTCAGCACACACAACCTGATCTACACTATCAATTATCCCTTTTAATTTTGTTATACCTAGAGTAGGACGTTTTAAGTTTGGATATCGAAAGTGGGAGCGGAATCTGTAGCTACCATGATACGAGCAACGCAAAACAACAATAACACACTGTTCTCAAATATTATGAAGATTCGTTTTCGTTTTTTCCGGAATGCTAGTTAATCTCTACCCCCTTTTTTTGTCGTCGCAATCCAGTGCTCGTATTTGACGCGGTCTTACGACCACCGAGTTGTTAGCTTCTCAACGCTCCCTGATTCAACGTCTCGTCTTGTTCACAATAACGGTGGATATCTGAGAAGCCTCCAGCAAGTTGACAGCGTTACAGCGCCTAGAACTTAGATTTGAGGGCAGGGATTAGCCACATTAACGCTTAGGGATCCTATCGATTTTTTTTCCTCCGATCTACATGTTAATAACACGTGAATTCAGTACACTTAATGTATTTGTTCACCATTTTTTTTAGGAATCATTTGTGCTCGCTAACACGAAAGTAAATGTATAGCTATAGAAAACGGTGAGCTTGCGTCAATAGATGTTTCCCTCGAGCTATATGAGTCCTTCTACTCGGTCGATTGGTCTTCCGCGGGGTTCGTACGGCCTGCTTTTCTCCCTCCCCTGCCTCTGCCTTTGCCGTTCTTGACGCCATACTTCATACCGTTCGAGGGACGAGATCCGTGGCGACGTTTTCCATCCAAGGAGCCCTTTGAGTGACGGGGGTGCCGGCCTCCATGGTTTCCGCCGTTCATCTTGCCGTCCCACTTGCCACCGGCAGGCTTGTTCTCATCCGAGACGTCAACCGTCTGGGCGGAGGAGGAGCGGAGCATTTGGTTAGCTTCAGTGCACTGGGTGTACTGAGCAATGATGGCGAGAAGAGCGACGACTGAGAAGAACTTCATGATTGTGGCTGTTGATGTTTCTTTTCGTTGTGAGCTTCTGAAGGTGAATTTGGAAATGGAACCACTTGAGCCTAAGGGCAGACACTGATCACGACCGAAAACGGACAGCAAGTGTGCAGCGCCTCCGTCTTGGTGTCCGAAGCGTGCTGCCAAACCAACTGGAGGCGTGCTTCAAAACAAAGTACTGTGGACGCTTATGGGGTACGGTTCGTTAATTAGATTTGCTAGGCTTTTTAGAGCTCATGAGAGATCGACGGTGCTTTGATCGTTGCACTAGAAGATCTCGCAGCAGCAGTCAGCCGCACAGATTTCGAACAGCCGAACTTATCCAGGAGTCGTGAGATAGATATCAGGATCGAGCGACTGACGCATATCCCCACATCACACTCTCTACTGCAAATTACTTAAGTATCGATTACCAGACCGCTTACTAAGATCGTCCCAAAGTGAAGTTGCCTCGGCTAGAAAAAATGTGCACCCGTGTTTTGCGACTGGTGGGACTTTGGAGTAGAGAGCTGAAGATTTGAGATGTTTTTCGTGACTGAATTTCTAAACACAGCAACGGTCAATTTCACGAAGGGAAAAGATAAGCAGCAATCATTGATGTATCTCGTTAGAAAGTATTCTACGCGCTAAGCTATGTTGCCTTTAATTTAATTCAGTACATATAAAGCACGCTAACTATAGATTCAGCCAATTT